AGTCTTGACTCCCCACATCCTACTTTTCCCCATTCCTCTCTATCAGTGATAATGCAGGTAGAGGGAGGTTTGTACCATGTAACTATTTTCCAGATTTTTAACTCATGCCTGCTTACCTAAGAATAATCAATACAGTTTTAAGCTATCCACTGCAGTTTAAAATGATCAGAGCACTTTCAGTCATAAAGTGAGTGGGTCACAACCAATGTTCCCTCTAAGCTGTGTAGTCTTGTGAGCAAAGATTCTACTTTGTGAGCTACTGGCATTAAAGCTATGAGTGAGCTATTTGGCTGCTGCATAAATTAGTTTGCTCTGGAGCCACATCCTTCCTGAGCCAAGACAAAAATGTGTGAGCCGGAGGCTAAAAAACTGTGGGCTAGCTCACACTAACTCAGCTTAGAGGGAACATTGGTCACAGCTATCCAGAGCAAGTGTGGTGCGGAGCCTGGGCCCAGGAGGTTTGAGGACACGTGTGGGAGAACTGGGGTTCGAGCTGGGCTGTGGTGTCTCTGGGCAGCCTGGGTCTTTCAGGCTCAGTTGGAGACATAGAATCATAGAATCACAGAACGTTAGAGCTGGAAGGGACCTTGCAGGTCATCTAGTCCAACCCCCTGCACTCTGCAGGAGCAGAGCCAAAAGACAGCCCTACAACATACCCGAAAGATGGTCGTCCAGCCTCCGCTTGAATGCCACATGATGCCATGGTGGAATGTCACATCTCCACGTGATGCCATGGTGGAAGAGAAGTGAGAAGGCCTTGGAAAGGGTGGTGTGGAAGCTCCCGATTGCATAATGTGAGATGGCTGAGCTGCTCTATGGGTTATTAATATACTTAGCTACAGAGCTGGTCGCCTGCCTTTCCACCCTCACGAGGGGCTGCCAAGGCAGCCAACAATTCAAAATATATCAGAAAAAAATCACATTTCAAGAACCATTAAAATCAACCCTCCTCCCAAACGCATATAATTAAAACAAATAAAAAGCCGAGTTGAAGTGTATACGAAACGTACGCGTGCTGCAAAATCCTCCACAAAGTAGGTTAATGTGTCATACTCTTGACTTCTGCACCCCAGCACTGAACTTGCACAACAGCGTTATTCGTGTGCTTGTTCAGAGAAGCTTTGTCTGTGTGGTTGTCTTCTGCTTTCATCTCAAACTTTCCTTTAAATGCTCGCGATTAACTCCCCTGTTAGCATTTGACCTGTTAGGTTTGGCCTCTGATGCTGTGGCTCCTTACGTGGAACGTTCCCAGTGATTCTCTGCGCATCCATCGGGGCAACCAAAAGTGGCTTCAGTCCTAAAACTGGATTGAAACTGGATCCAGATAACTAGCTTTGTCCCAAAATGCTTGGAGTTGCATAGCCTCCACTCACTTTGAGCACTTGCGGAGGGGCTGTGACTCAGTGGTTAGAGCCTCTGCTTGGCATGCAGAAGGTCCCAGGTTCAATCCCCAGCATCCCCAGTCAAAAGGACCAAGCAGGAGGGGATGTGAAAGACCTCCGCCTGAGACCCTGGAGAGCTGTAGAGAGGGGCTGTGGCTCAGTGGAAGAGCCTCTGCTTGGCATGCCGAAGGTCCCAGGTTCAATCCCCGGCATCCCCAGTCAAAAGGACCAGGCAGGAAGTGATGGGAAAGGTCTGAGACCCTGGAGAGCCACTGCCAGTCTGAGTAGACCACACCGACTCCGATGGACCGAGGGTCCACTCCAGTCTAAGGCAGCTTCATGTGTGTTCACTTTGCCCCCATCTAGGGTATAGGGTTAAGCTCATTTGGTCTGAGGATGGCTCCTTCAGGAGGGTTTCATTTGTTTGAGTGTATTTGCCCTACTTTTTACCCTGGTGGGACTCAAAGCAGCTTAGAAAACATAATTTAAATAGACAAATGGAAAGAAACAGGAATTGTTGAAGTCTGGTCTGGGTCATGTGACCCCTGGCGCAGCTCACTGCAAAGAGCCCTTCGGCTCTTGACCGTCAGCCCTGGTCTCTGGCCATGCCCCTTTCAAATGCCTGCAGGCAGTGATGGGGGGGGGGGGGAAATAGCAGCTCAGCCCAGACTTCCTGCAGCTCGCAGAAAAGGTAATTCCTCCCCTTCCTCCTTCCAGGCAGTCTGCAGTGCCCCGCTCCGTTGGACCTCCCTCGGGCAGTCGGCTTGGGACCCCCCCTGGGTGTTTAGCCGCTAAAGACGGGGTGAAGCACTTCTGGGGCAGGCTGGGCTTGTCAGGCTCCCTGGCTCCCTCTGTCACGGCCTCACAAGGACTGGGATTGTGATTGGCTGCAGGAAGGAGCTGGGGCCTGCTGACTACCCCAGGACCCCATTGGTCGTGTCCGTGGAGTTTCGTGGAGGGCCTGCTGTGGGGCTCAGGAGAAGAGCCTCTGCTTGGCACGCAGAAGGTCCCGGCTTCAATCCCTGGCAGCCTCTCCAGCCAAAATGACCAGGGAGCAATGTCCCCTCCAAGCTGAGTTAGTGTGAGCTAGCTCACGGTCGTTTAGCCTCCAGCTCACAGATTTTTGTCCCAGCTCAGGAAGGAGGGCTCCAGAGCAAACTAATTTATGCAGTAGCCAAATCGCTCGCTCACAACTCTAATGCCAGTAGCTCACAAAGTAGAATTTTGGTTCACAAGACTCCACAGCTTAGAGGGAACATTGCCAGGGAGTGGGTGATGGGAAAGACCTTTCTCTGCCCGAGACCATGGAGGGTCGGTGCCAGTCTGAGTGACCAAGAATGACCTTGACGGACCCTGAGGGGTCATTTGGAATACTGTGTGCAGCTCTGGTTTACTTTATTCTGGTTGCCACACCTCAAAAAGGATATTGTAGCGATCGAAAAAGTGGAGAAAAGGGCAACTAGAATGATAAAAGGGTCGGAACACTTCCCCTATGAAGAAAGGTTAAAAGCACTTTCGGTTCTTTGACTTGGAGAAACGACAGCTGAGGGGTGACATGATCGAGGTTTATAAAATGCATGGGATAGAGTAGGTCGAAAAAGAAGTACTTTTCTCCCTTTGTCACAAGATGAGAACTTGGGGGCACTCCATGAAATTGCTGAGCAGTTGGGTTAGAACGGATAAAAGGAAGTACTTCTTCACCCAAAGAGTGATTAACACGTGGAATTCACTGCCACAGGAAGTGGCAGTGGCTACAAGCATGGACGGCTCCAAGAGGGAATCAGAAAAGCATCTGGAGCAGAGGTCCATCAGTGGCTATTAACCACAAGGTGTAGATGGGAACTCTCAGTCTGGGGCAAGGGATGCTCTGTGTTCTTGGTGCTTGCGGGGGGGGGGGCAACAGTGGGAGGGCTTCTGGTGTCCTGGCCCCACTGCTGGACCTCCTGGTGGCACCTGGTATTTCTGGCCACTGTGTGACACAGAGTGCTGGACTGGATGGGCCACTGTCCTGATCCAACATTGACTTCTCTTACGTTCTTATAAGAGAGAATTGGATAAGCACATGGAGCAGAGGTCCATCAGTGGCTACTAGCCACAAGGTGTAGATGGGAACTCCCAGTCTGGGAGGGCTTCTGGAGTTCTGGCCCCACTGCTGGACCTCCTGATGGCCCCTGGTCTTTTTGGCCACTGTGTGACCCAGAGTGTTGGACTGGATGGGCCATTTGGCCTGATCCCACATTTGGCTTCTCTTTTGTTCTTAAGGGTCTGATTCAGTAGAAGGCAGCTTCATGTGTGAACAGCAGGGAGAGGAAGCTGTGGCTCAGTGGCGGAGCCTCTGCATGAGTTGCAGAAGGTCCCAGATAGAGTTCCCGGTAGCATCTTCAGCCGTAAGGACCAGGCAGCAGCTGAGGTTCAGTGCCTCTGCCTGGAGAGTCCCTGGAGAGCTGCTCCCAGTCTGAATTGACAACGGTGACCTTGTTGGACCGATGGTCTGATTCAAGATAAAGCGACTTCGTGTGTTTCCACGTGTTGCCTTCGACCAAGTCAGACCGTGGAGCCATCCAGCCCAATATATTGTCTTCTCTGAAGGGGCAGGAGCTCTCCAGGGTGTTCAGCGGAGAGGGGTTCTTTCCCAATCCCTGTCTCTTTTGGTCCTATTAATTGGAAATCGTTGGGTGATAGTGAGATATTGAAAAATGGTATTTAGCAGAGATAAGATAGCCCAGCAGAGCCAGAGTAAGATAATTCAGACTCAGAGTCCATGTGTGATTAAAATATAAAGTTTTTACTAAATTCTAGCATGGGAAAGGGTAACTCAGATGAAAATAACAACAGAGCATAATCGGCTACATCCTTACTCTACAAAGACAAAACTAGAGGAGAGGAGAGAGTATGGCTGCTCTTCTTCTTCAGAACACCAAACAAAGACGGGAAGAGAAGCCATAAAATGGTAATAGACCTGGACACTTTAGTCCCAAACAAATTCCTAGATCAGGGAGAAAATTCCCCGGGCTTCCTACAGCTAAAGAACATTGGTTACATGAGAAACATGTGACTTCCTGTGAGTAACATAAACAAACATTTAACCCCAGATATACTGAGTGTTTTCAACTTGTAATACCCAACAGAAATGCTAGGGGTTGATCCTTCATCATGCGAAGTGCCCTCTCTGCCAGGGAGCTGTGCCTCTCCCCCAGCTGGTCTTGATGGGGACGGTGTTGTCTTCCAATGGTCTCTTTCAGTAAGAACAGAACACCAGAAGAGCCATGCTGGATCAGACCAGTGGTCCGTCTAGTCGTCCGTCTAGTCCAGCGTCCTGCAGCTCCAATCGCCTGGTTTCAAAGCGGCGCTTTCTTTTGTGTATTAATAGCAACCAGTGTTCCCTCTAAGCTGAGTTAGTGTGAGCTAACTCACAGTTTTTTAGCCTCCGGCTCAGACATTTCTGTCTTCGCTCAGGAAGGGATGGCTCCAGAGCAAACTAATTTGTGCAGCAGCCAAATCGCTCGCTCACAGCTTTAATGCCAGTCGCTCACAGAGTAGACTTTTTGCTCACAAGACTCCACGGCTTAGAGGGAGCATTGATAGCAACGTCCCTTTTTCTGCCCCTCTGCTTTCCAGCTCTACGGAGGTGGACGACATGATCCGGAAATCTACCAATCTGCTGCTGACTCGAACGCTGAGCCACTGTTTACAGAACGTCATCAAGAGGAGGAACGTCGGCCTGACAGAGGCGAGTCTGTAGAGAAGGGGCTCATGCCGGCCGCAAAGCTGCTCTCGGCTCTCCTTCCTCACAAAGCGGCTTCGGACATTCTGCTGGATCTGGGAGGGAGGAGAGAGGAGAAAGGACAACGAGAGGACTTGTTGCTCCCCTCCCCACACTGCTGGGGCTTCTTGGGAAAGAGGAGGGGTTCTTCGCCTGAGCGGAAGCCCCTGTTTCCTGCAAGTAGCCCCCCCATTCTCCACTGCTTCATGCATCTCTCTCCCCCCAAGTTCCAAATTTCATGTACCCCCTTTGTATGAATCCACCTTTGAGGCCTTTCCTTGTGCAGCTAAGCCTGTACTGCGTAACTGAGAGGGGGCTTTGCCCATCCTTGACCACAGAAGCCCCATGGCAGCCACAGCAGATGTTCTTCCGTCCTTCCTGGAGTCCGCAATGTACTTCTTGGATGAGAAGGGCGTGTGCCAATCAGTTGCAGGATTTGGGCTGAGAAGACTCTGCACACCTTGCAGAATTGCTCTCAGGTCTACCACTGTGGAAACAGGGGCAGGAGCTGAGCCCAGGTGTCTCCTCCCTCAGCAGGCATTGGCCGTCGGCTTGGTGGGGAGGGGGTCACAGGAACATAAGCCTGGTCAAGTCTCCAAGACTGGATGCAAACTCCAAAACTGGATGCAGGTTTGGTGGGGAGGGGGTCACGGGAACATACGCCTGGTCAAGTCTCCAAAACTGGATGCAGGTTTGGTGAGGAGGGGGTCTGCCACGGCTCCTCAGGTGGGGTGTCACCTGATGCTGCCACCACTCTGGATTTAGGTTCCCTTGAGAAGGCCCAGAGCACCCTCCCAAGACCTTCAGACCTCCCTTTAGGCCGAATAACAGGCGTGAGGACCAGGGAGAGTGAACCAAGGAAAAGGTTTATTTTATAGGAGGTCAAACAACAAGGCGCAGAATAATAACAGTAAATGGGTGAAAAGAAAAGGAATCAAATGCCCTAACGCATTTAAATATATACTGTCCCTAGCTCACTATTCCAAGTGGCACTGGACTACTCACCCTTCCCTCAGGATGAGGGTCTCTTCCCTGCAGTAGCCTTCCTTCTGGCTCTGCCCTCTGGAAGGAAGAACAGCTTCTGCTCTGGCACCAGCCCTTTTGTTCCCCAGCCCTCTTCGCTATTGGTCAATTTTGGCTCCAAAACATCTCAGGGGCTTCTGGAGGTTGTAGGCCTAGCCTCACCTACTGCTAGCCAGGCTCCATGGGCCTAGTAGGCCTCTGTTGGCACAGCCCAGATCATGACAGGGTCACAGGAACATACGCCTGGTCAAGTCTCCAAGACTGGACGCAGGCCCTTGTGTGTGCATGCGTATGCAAGGGGTTGCGTCCAGTTTTGGAGACCTGACTGGGTGTATGCTCCTGTGACACTTTTCCTGGAAATAGCTCTGACGTGCTGTGATTTGAACAAGAAACACTTTTTAAGTTGCTGCAGAAGGCAGCCCCAGTTGACGATTGGCCAGTAAGATAAAAAGATGTGCTGTTTTTTGACCAGTGCAAGAGGATGATCTGGGCTTCTGCAATAATCAAGATGAAAAGCCCTCTGCAGATTTGGGACAAGTGGGAGCAAAGGAGTTTCCGGTCAGGGTGAGCCCCGGAGTCTAAAAGGAGGCCCCGGGACTCTGTGGGTCCTGCCCCTTTGCTCTGTTCTTCTACTGGTCAGTCTGTTCAGTGACCGAATAATGGGATGCATCTTGAAACCTGCTTCCTCGTGGGGCAAGAAAGGTCTCCTTCCCCACCGTGGAAGGGAGGGGGAGAGTTTTCTCAGTTTCTCGCCCTCCCCCCTATTTTTAAACAAGCATGCCCGGTGGCCATCTGCCTGCCATGTTGAAACATTTTCTTTTAAACACGTTTGGGGGGAGAGGAGGGGGTATTTCAGCAGCCAAGGCTGAAGTCCTGAGACAACCAAATTGGCTCTTAATTGCCGCTCAAAGCGCCTGCAGGTCTTTCCTCCAGACCCTTATCTGATCGAGGGGGAGGGGGGAGAGGCTGTCGCTCAGGGTCCCGTTGCTGGTGACTGATGGGCAGGGGGCTTCAGGCGGGCTGTCTTCATGCGTGGAGGCCTTTTCCTGGGGTCTGCGGTGAGCATGTTGATTTTTGGCTCCTGCTGCAGCTAGTGCCCGTCCTGGGGGAATTCCTTTCCCGGAGACTTGTGGCTGGCTTGCAAATGTCACCTGTTATGAAATTGAGACACCCCCCCTGCCCCCCACTCCCCAATTCTTTGTCAAGAGATATCGTACCCTGCCAGAGGCAACGACTTCATGACGGGGTGTGTGTGCGTGTGGGTCCTATATTGTCAGCTGTGGCTTCATCTGGCCTGCCGGTGATTTACTGTAGAGAAACTCAAGTGCAAAATATGTCTTCCTCGCTTGGCAGCTGGTCCAGATTATAATTAACACAACACACTTGGAGAAATCCTGCCAGTTCCTGGAGGAATTCATCACCAACATTACCAATGTCCTCCCAGAAACCGTCCACACAACGAAGCTGTATGGAGCCACAACCTTCAAGGTGAGCCTGCTGCTCCGGGGGGGCTGGCCGGGTCCGTGTCCTTGCCACAAGAAGGACTGTGCACGGCATCCTGACACGCTCATAAGGAATCCGTGCAAAGCTCTAGAGCAGCGCGTTGCACAAGCAGGGTGCACAGAGGTCTTGGAAGGCATACCAGACCTCTGGGGGAAAACCAGCTGAAGAAGAAGATGAAGAAGAAGATGAAGAAGAAGAGATTGGATTTCTACCCTGCCCTTCACTACCCAAGGGAGTCTTGGAGCGGCTTGCAAACTCCTCTCCCTGCCCCTCCCCACAACAGACACCCTGTGAAGTAGACGGGGCTGAGAGAGCTCTGAGAGAAAGGCTCTTTTTCAAGGACAGCTCTTATCAGAACTAGGGCCTGCCCAAGGTCATCCAGCCAGGTGCAAGTGGAGGAGCGGGGAATCAAACCCGGTTCTCCCAGATTAGAGTCCGTGCACTTAACCATGACACCAAACTGATGAAGCTCAAGCTTTTATTTGAGATTGTAAGTCACTCTGAGATTCTGAGTGAAGAGCAGGGTATGAATCCAATCTCCTCCTCCTCCTCTCTCAAGGAAGGGGAAATGATGGCAGAAAAGTCGGTGTGAATCCTGGGAATACTCCCACTGCGGCATTGAATTTTAGATCCCCTTGGGGTATCTGAGGGGGGGGGGCAACATCAGTTAAGCACTTAGTTAGGAATGGGGGGGGGGCCTGCAGGGAAGAGAGGAAAGGAGATGAGGATGTAGCCAGACATGGGGGCACAGGGCCAGAGCTTCCTCCCCAAAACCTTGAATGGCATTTTCTGAAAACTGCTTTTCCTCTTTTGTGAGAAATGCCAATTGGCTTATGTAGCCATAAACACAGTTTCTCAAAGAGTCGCCCTTTGAAATGTCCAAGGTGACAGATTCAGTCCAACAGATTGTCCCATATAGAAGTCCCTTTTCCTGAATGATCACGAAGCCTAGCTCCCCTGAGAGAGATCTGCAAGCTCTCTCTGTCTCTGTCTCTGTCTCTGTCTCTGTCTCTGTCTCTGTCTCTGTCTCTCTCTCTCTCTCTCTCTCTCTCTCTCTCTCTCTCTATCAGACTCTCTCTCTCTCTCTCTCTCTCTCTCTCTCTCTCTCTCTCTCTCAGAATGTTAGAGTTGGAGGGACCTTACAGGTCATCTAGTCCAACCCCCTGCACTCTGCAGGATCTCAGCCAAAAGATAGCCCTACATACCTACAACATACTCTCTCTCTGTCTCTCTCAGAATCATAGAATTTTAGAGTTGAAAGAGACCTTGCAGGTCATCTAGTCCAACCTCTGCACTCTGCAGGAGCATAGCCGAAAGGCAGCCCTACATACCTACAACATACTCTGTCTCTGTCTCTCTCTCTGTCTCTCTGAAAAGACCCTCTGCTGTCCCTTTCTGCAAGTCTTCCTTCCAGAGGACCGAATCTTTATTTTTAAAGGGTCTTTCTGGGCAAGGGGCCTCGCACGCCTATTCCCATGCACAGGAAGGATGTCTTCTTCTTCGCAAAGGGTAACACAGCGAGGATCCAGTGCCCTTGCTCCCTCTGACTGCAGTGAGAAAGGCTGGGAGGGTGGAAACCCGGAGGGCTGATTGTTGGGATTCTTAATTCAAGGTCGATGGTTGTATTGCAAACACAAGAGCCACACTTAGTAAAAGAAAAATATCCTTACTATGAAAACAAAATAAAACATGGGTATGGTACTTTGGATAAAAGAAATAAAATAGAAAGTTACATGCTTGCAGTTACTCTCAGTAATATATGCTAACAACTACATATTTCTATCTCTCTGGACTTCTAGAAGAGAACTACCTCTTTGGTTCACACAAAGGGCCATAAACCTTGTGAATACATTAATGCTAGATCAAAGCATTCCTACAAACAAGATGTTAGTTGACCAATACAAAGGTTTCAGGTCACTTCATTAGGATAAACAACTCCCACAAACTTTTCCGCCATTGAATACATTATGCAACGTCACATCCTGTTTGCTAACAAACAACATTTAACTCTGTAATGGCTGAAGTGTGAGCAACTTGCCATTCCAACACTGATGTTCTGCGGGGTCCCCCGCTCCCCCCCCAGGATGCTCGCCATGCCGCAGAGGAAGAGATCTACACCAACTTGAATCAGAAGATAGACCAGTTCCTGCAGCTGGCGGATTACGACTGGATGGCTGCCGAGCCCAGTGCCGAGGCCAGTGACTACCTGGTGGACCTCATCGCCTTTCTGCGGAGCACCTTTGCTGTCTTCACACACCTGCCAGTAAGTACCCCCGGGTGTCTTTGTCTTCTGCCCTTGGGCCTTTGCAAGCACAGCCGGGGAAGAGAAGAAGATTTGTCTGCACAAAGCAAGGGGCCCAAGGCACTCTTT